CAAGGGCAGTGGTCAAGTAGGAATGCGTAGAAATGAATGCTGTTTAATGATCGTAAGTAGGGTCTATATATATATGTCTGGGGCCTATTGTATAGTGTCATAGTGGTGTTGTCATGATGCCGGGCTCCCATCCTGGCTCTGTGTGTCGTAACCGTGCAGCTTGGTAACCGAGTGGTAATCCTGTTGCAGAACTGCTGCACCTCTAGTGCCCCCCCCCCCCCAAGTGTTCCTGCGAGTCCGCTCACATTACCTGCCTGCCCCCACGACAGGTAATGATCATGGTCTCATAACGAACAAGAGCGGAGGATCAAGAACAGTACCCCTCGATGCCGACGTCTGGACACAGGAGTCAAGACAGAGTCCCTTTGACCTTGCAGATCCCTAACCCGAGTGTGTTGTCGCCTTTATTATTCTTGTAAATAGTTTTGCTGTCTTTATTATCCTCATCGTTGAAAGATCTCTTACCAGTGCCCCCACATCTGGAGCTTTATTCATACACCGTAAGATAATTATTATGTAGAGACTTCGTAAAGCAGAAGAGACTTTTATTGAGCAACATATTCACAGCTAGTACTTTTACCTGATATAGAGCCACTACACCACAGCGGTGGGGTCCGTTTCAATGCGCATGGCATCTCCGCGGTCAGAAGGGAGGTGTAATAGCAACAAAACGAAGGAAGGAACAAGTGCAGGAACAAGAGGACACGAGGTAGGAACACGAGAGGCAGGGGACAAGAGACAAGGGCTAGAACGGATGATCTTTATTATACAGAGAGATAGAGGTATTTATACTAATATACAGGGGGCGCAGTGGTGGAGGCGCGGTGATGGGGGCGTGGTTGAGGGCTAAGCAGAAGGTTAGCCTAGGATACTATCACAGGAGGCCAGAGGGAAGAGAGGATGGGAACACGTCCGGAAATTCGTCGTGACAATGGTGTGTATGTCGGGAGGGAAAGAAGGAGGTGGTGGTGGTGGAATGGGAGTGATGGACGGCTGTTGGTGGTCAGAGTTGTCGGGTTGGTCATTGTCGTTATGGCTGTTGCTGTTTTTGTCGTGAGAGCGAATGAGTGCAAGGTAGACTTCACTGCCAGGGGCTGTCGCTTCTGTATAAAACTGAATGTGAGAGAGGAGGAGGCCACAAATGCGGGTGCTGATGGATGATGACTGAAAGCCGGTGCAGTCCCAGTCGATGTCGATGCCGTCATGGTGGATGCGGAGATTGTTGGTGCGCCAGTTGATGAGGGGATTGGTTTGAGCGAGCCATGGCTTGCCCAGAAGGAGGTCGTATTTTTTGAGTGGATAGACAATGGGGTTGAGGGTGGTGGAGTATTGTTGTCGTTGGAGGGAAACGTTGGCAGTGTGAGCAGAAAAGGACTGTGATCCGTCTGGAAGGACAATGGGGATGGGAGAAGACGATTGGAGAGGAATTGCGTGTCGCTTGACAAAAGAAGAGCTGATTACGTTACCCTGAGCCCCACCATCGATAAGGATCCGAGCGGCATGGCCATTGACGTTGCAGACGAATGTAAGAAGAGTTGTTTTGGCTTGTTCCGCAGTAAAGGTTGATACTCCAATTCCCCTTTTCGTAACGGACGGATTTTGCTCTTAGACATAGTGGGGGCACATTCCGATGACAGAAAGGAGGGAGAGATAGCAGGCCCAGTAGCACAGACGGAGGCAGGTAGAGGAAGAGACACAGACTCAAGCATAGACATGACAGGCAAGACAGACGTGGGGGCTAGAGAGGAGAAAGACATAGGTGGGTCCAGGTCCACTGTATCAGTCAATCCAGCCCCGTCTTGAGGAGGAGGGACAGGGGTGGCGCATACAGCGGGCAAGGGCACCATCGTAGAAGGGGGAACCAGGGACAGAGGGTCAGCAGGTGTATCGGCAACGACAGAAGGGGGAGGATGCAACAGCAGCAGAGTCAAGGGGTCAAGGGCAGTGGTCAAGTAGGAATGCGTAGAAATGAATGCTGTTTAATGATCGTAAGTAGGGTCTATATATACATGTCTGGGGCCTATTGTACAGTGTCGTAGTGGAGTTGTCATGATGCCGGGCTCCCATCCTGGCTCTGTGTGTCGTAACCGTGCAGCTTGGTAACCGAGTGGTAATCCTGTTGCAGAGGAGCAAGGTCTTGGGGCACAGCAGATTTTTTATTTAAAAAAGAAAAAGAAAACTTATCTGAGGAAAGACGCTTACTCCCCTGGTCCAGAAGAACAGAGGAGGGAGCAGCAGCAACTAGGACCCGGACTTTCTCTAGTTGCTGTTGGCTTTTCACGACTGGGTCTGGGAAGTAGCCTGTTCAGAAGAAGAGCTAGCGGCAACCTCGACGTTGTTGACCTGACGCGGCTGTTGCTGGCTTAGAAAAGTGCGACACTGGTTTGCCATGTGACCAAGCTTGGGGCAGCGGAAGCAGCCCTTCTTGGCGATGAGGTAGGCCTTCTCTTCAGGGGTGGCTTGGGAGGGCGAGAAGTGTTGTTGGTGTTGCCGAAGCCATTGTTGCGGGACAGGTACTTGACCTGTGTGGTGAGATTGTGGATGGCAACATGGGGATTGTCAATGTCCATGGCGTTAGGGTCGTGCTTGGGGGTGGGGGCGACGGTAGGGCCATTGGGGAAAAGGATGGAGTGGATCAAGTTAGCCTGGCTGATGGCAATCTCCAAGGTAGCACATTGACGGAGCTTGACTTCCTTGCTGGTATCTGGCTTATTATACAGAGAGAGAGAGGTATTTATACTAGTGTACAGGAGGCACAGTGGTGGAGGCGCGGTGATGGAGGTGTGGCGATGAAGGTGCGGTTGAGGGTGAAGTAGAAGATTAGCCTAGGATACTATCACACTCTTGGTGGCCCACGTAGCTGCAGCATCGCGGCGGAACTCATCCACGGATCTGCGTATCGCATCCAGCTCCGAACGGATAGCGGCTTGGGTAAGGTTGCTAGCCTGAGTAACGACGTCGGTTTTGTCCATTATGGCTTGCTTGTTGATCTAGGCGGGGAGACCGATGGTTACGGCGTTTTCCAGCATGGCTAGTCTTGGGTCCAGGCCATTAACAAGGGGTTTAAAAAAATCAAGGTGGTTGTGCAAGAAGGCGAGGGAGGGCACGATGGTCAGGGTTGGTGGATATGGCGAGACAAAATCAGAAAAATAATAAAAAAAGGTCAAAGTTGTGTGATCTAGCAATGTCACCAACCTATGCTTATTCAGAGTCAAAATGACCTTCTTAAACACGGCAGGACAGAACAAGGAGAGGGGATATGTGGTTTAGGAAACAAGATCAAAGGAAGCGTAGGATATATTGAAGTTGCTAGATAGGGAACAAAAGATACAGAACCATGGAATATATATATATATCCCATTGCCCTCGTATACCGCTCGTACGCGTTGCCAAGAGTCGACCCATCACTTGCCAAGTACCGATCGATCATGTCGTGGTACGCGACAATTGTGATCTTGAATGAGAGAATGGAAAAAACGTCGTTTCTAAATGAGGTGGAATGTTGCTTGAATGTTTCTGATTGTTGTTTTTTAGATCCTCTACTTCTTCATTGAAGAATATGACTGTCCAGAATCAATGAGAACAACAGAGGGATCTTTAATTACAGTGACCGAGCAATTACTTATTGCTCAATGGCTTAAGTTAATGTCTGGACTCAGTCAAAGCTGTCGAACACAGATACAGCGTGTAAAATAGGCCATATGACACAGTCATTATTACCTGGTAGTCGCAATAAAGCATCTGATTACTAACGGCGTGAGAATCCATGCAGTCGAGTAGCACTTAGTGACGCATCAACGGCGAGTCCTGTCAGAGTAGCGGCCCAAATACGCTGGTGTGTCGGTTCATCAAGGTTCATCGCATCTGCATCCTCTCGACGGGGAGGACGGTAGAGGCGATGCTGACATGGCCGATCACGAGTCGAAGATCCAGTATGGCGCTGTCCAGCTGACGTGGCGAATGGACTGGCAGTGCGCGAGATCGAGGACGATAAGTAAGAAATAAAAAAATGCAATAAATTAAGGTTTTACAAGGGCAAACAAGTAACGAGGCAAGAGAGGGATTTTTAAAGGCCCCGCCAGGATGGCTATTTTACAGCTGCCCCGGCGGGTTGAGATTGGGATAAGTGAGAAAGAGATGTGGCTCCACACACCACACCGATTGGGTATTTATTTGTATAAAATATAATAGTTACCTTTATTAAAATTAATAAGATACAGTGGATTCTAGTGAAATATGCGACACGGGTTATCGAATCGTACGGGTCTTGCTAACTAGAATATGTACTTATGTCAAAATACGGCACACTCAGGACTAGGTTTCATCTCTCAAATCCATGGAACAATGGATGCTGAATTGTGTGTCGAACCTTGGGGGTGCGTTTCATTGACACGGAATGGTATAGAATCCGGCCTCAGGATATGATTTCCCAGCAGAGTTATGATTCCAAACACATCTCAAGAGCAGCTAAAGTATTTTTCGAGGAAAAGAACCACAACTTGCTCATTTGGCCCACAGGCCCTCCAGTTACGGATCCGATAGAGCACCTCTGGGAGCACCTTGAGAGGTAACTATCCAAGTATCGTGAGCCTCTTGAGGGAATGATCGAATTGTGGGAACGATTGCTGGCCGAATGAAACAAAATTCTGGCGTCGGTCTGCCAGACCCTAACTGAGAGCATGCCACGAAGGGTTGGGGCGCTGAAGAACGCAGAGTCAAGTCACACTGGTTGCTGAGAATAACGACTTAATAAGGGCTTAATAGAAGGAGATCCGAGTACGACATAAGAATACCAGCCCTCCAAGATGTAAAAAGCGTATCAAGAGATTAATCGCTTACCTTTGATGCGGATTGTGTTCGCACAGCTTAAGTTTCTAAAGACAGGAACTGATCTCCCTACCCAGCTACGATGACTAGAACTTGTCGCATATTTCACCTCGATCCGCGGTGTATGTTATATAATGTATGCAGCAGATTTCGTGCGAAATATCTATCCAATCGCCTTGATCAGCGGTTCTACATCTCTTTCTCATTCACTTCCTTCTACAATAATCCTAAAATATCGTAATTTTTTCTGCTTCCTCCTCTCGACTGAAGTGGAGGAGACTGAGAAAGAAATGTCTTTCTGGAGTAGGAAGGCGAAGAGCATGGAGAGAAGCAAAGAGTGCAGTCAGTAAGCAACGCAATTTCATTGGTGGATTTTGTACGCGTTTTGTTTTGCGAGACTGCTAGAGCTAAAGCATTGTCGCTTCCAAGGGCCAACTTGTTCAGCTGCCACCTTACACTACAAAATCCCTCTTCCCATGGAACATAAGATCACTGAGGGTATGTTAGAGCATTTACGGAATTGCACTCGATGCGATTTGGTCATTACTAACGCAAGCATCTTTTGTCTGTGATTAGATGAGGCTGCGCTCTATGACCGACAGATTCGTCTCTGGGGTCTTGAAGCCCAGCACAGGTAGCTGACCGCCCTCAACGCTCTTCATACCATATGAATTTGCTGTTCGAAGAATGCACAAGTACTGCGTGCTAAATCATGGTTCCCATCGCTCTGATAAACATGCGCACCTGATAGAATGAGAAACGCATCAATCTTGATCGCGGGCATGCGCGCGTTGAGCAACGAGGTCTGCAAGAACATTATCCTCGCAGGTGTGGGATCTATCACGTTGCTCGAAGACGAGGTCGTAACAGAGGAGGATCTTGGAGCTCAATTCTTGGTCCGTAAGGAGGACGTTGGCCGTAACGTATGTGATAGATGCGTTGGTCTCACTATCGTATTCATATTTGTCCTTGCAATGTCCTTCTTCCTTATGTCTTTTTCTCTCTCCGGTTTCTTCGTTCAATACACTAGCGCGCCGAGGTAGCAGCGGAAAATGCGAGACACTTGAACCCTAGAGTGAAGGTGGTTGTGGATCAGGACGACATTGCGCAAAAGCCGGACTCGTTCTTCACAGGATTCAATATTGTGTGTCTTACAGGATGTGACCCAGGGCAAATGGTAAGGATTTCTTGCATTAGAATTCAATTGGAGATTTCAGGATGGGATCTGATTCGTGATATGTTGACTAACCAAGCTTCTTTTTTTTTTTTTTTTTTTTTTCTTTTTTTTTTTTTTTCATCCGCTCGAAATATAGGATCGCATTGACAATATCTGCAGGGGCACAAAGACCGGACTCTATATTGCAGGGGTGCACGGATTTTTTGGATACATCTTCTGCGATCTCACTAAACATGAATACAGAGAGTACGTCTTTGCCTCGCAGAATCGAGATGTACATTGGCCCATTCAGGAAAAAAAAAAAGACGAAAACAACAACGACAACGACAACGACAACGACGTGAGAAGGTGAACGAATTCTCACTGACTCTTTCTTTTTTTTATTATTTCAGGGAAACACAAGAAACCGTGACGGAAAGGGGGAAGGAGCCAGAGACGACGATCACACAGCGGAGCCAGAATTATGCTAGCTTAGCAGACACTATGGAGGCACGTTGGGGATATCCAAAGCCAAAGGCATTGAAGCGCAAGGTCTCGCCACTGCTCTTTGCTATTCAAGGTCTGAGAAAGTGTGCTTGGATGGGTCGAATGTTTGGAACTGCTCATGTACTATGCTGAAAACTAAAATGCCCTAAATATGTGCCTTTTTACTTATCTTACGTCTGGTAGCTCTTTGGCTGTTCCAAAAAGCACACAATGGAAGACTGCCTCAGAGCAGCAATCAGGGAGACCTGGACGCCATGCTGAAATTCAGAGATGAGCGACTGAAGTCTGCTCAAGTTGATGGCGCTTTTGTCGACGATGATCTGATCAAGTACGTCTCAGGACATCATTGTTAGAATAGATCCTCGCAACCTCAAGTCATTGTCTAGTCTAACTTAGGCGCTTTTTATTTGCTCCGCTTAATAGGACTCTTGTCGCAACTGTATCAGCAGAGATTTCGCCTGTGTGCGCCATTGTAGGGGGATTCCTTGCACAGGATATATTGAAGACACTTTCGGGCAAGGATGCACCGTTGCTGAACTACTTTTTGTACAATGGTACCGAAGGTATGCGTCCTTTACATCATTTGCGGTGGTCATCGTCCAAGGAGCTGAATATGTAAATGGATTTTAACACGTCGCTTACATGTTGGCTACGATCCATGATAGGTACTGGGCTGGTCCATCATGTGCAGAAGACAGAGGCATAAACCTGCCTTTCGACTTTATTATCCAGCTCACCAGTACCGGAAAAATAAAAAAAAAAGGCTATACCAGCCATCGACCAGAACAAGACACAAAATTCCTTGGTGCGATGGACAGCTTTCATCTGAACCCGGCACTATACCCAGCTCCATCCCGTTCTCGAACAGAGCTTTTGTTCATTTGCAATGACGCACGTTTCTTCCGCCAATCGATCGCAGTAGCGACAGTATAAGTGATACCGCTGGAAATCAAACACAATCCTCCAGGATAATTTGGAGCACGCAAGAAGCAGGGCACGGCTGCGGGGACGTAGAAGAGTACGCGGATAGACTGCGCGCGGAGAACTGTAGAGGGTAAGAAGGAGATGCGGGGTTGTTTGGACGCAGCTAGCGATCCAGAGGTGCGGCGGGGAGGGGTTTGTTCGATAAGGTAGACCAGGATCCCTAGCACTCTGGTCCAGAAAATGCGGGCGTGAAGGGGTTAGCGAAGCATCAAGAATTAGAGGGAAAAGCACGGAGCGGCTGAGTGCACTTACATGGAGTAAACGCCAGAAATCCAGTTCGAGAAGAACAAACACAGCGCTCCTCCGCTGACAAGAACTGCGTAAAAAATATGTGAGTTACCTGGTTTACCTGACTGTTGGGCGAAGCAGAACGCCAGACAAATTCCGAAAACCTTAAACATTATTCTCGTACAATAAGCCGATCCTGTGGCCTGAGCTCGTATCCAAGCAGCATAAGCCGAAGACGAGGATGACTTTTGGATGCGACGGGGTCTGTTATCAGGCACCCGTCTCTGTGTCTCAACAACGGGTTGTGTGTGGATCTGCTCCTGCTGAAGCTGCAGTGTATCGGCCTGTTGCTGTTGTTGCTCTGCGGCTAGAGATAAGGATTCGGTATACCCTTCGATCGTGCTATGACCGGCAAAGAGGTTGGCTTCAGTCTGGTCGGAGGTGTCCATATAGAATGCCGACGATGGAATGAGGGAGCGGAATCAGATGAAGACGCATCACGTTGAGCAAAGCTGGGTCAAGATGTTATGGGGACCTTGCCTACTCCTGGATTAAGGAGCTTTCTGTCACTAAACAACAAAGTTCAGCTCCCAGTAGATTTGAACCTGAGTCTGCAATCATTGACCGTCTGAGCTGCGAATTCGCCGCCGCAACGGCATAGCCGCACTTTCAGGGGTCAATTAGGCGCCGGGTGGTAGCTGTTTGGGTATTAGTACATGATTGTTTTATTGGATTGCGCATATTAAAGATATCGCTTCGCGCTCAGTCTGACTTTGGTGTCAAATGCAGGCGAGTTGATGATCGTATTGGGTTCGTAAAACGGATTTAATAGCGTCTATTTTCATAAACCCACCCACCCCCAACCAAAAAAAAAACCCCCCCAAAGACCTTGATTAGCACTTTCCCAATCTGATAAAGGCACAGACGTTCGCTGCAACTGACTGGCTAACTGAGACATACCTTGATATAGAGCTCATAACAATCATTAAAGAAGTTTCGGATTGCGTCTTCACTCTTAGCATCATGCAATAGCAGCAGCTTGATGTTTCCAGCGGTCAGGTATGCGGAGATGAATCGTTCGTTGAACTTGTCGATTGATTTCAGGTACCTGGTTTGCAAAAAAAGAAAAAAAGGAAAAAAAAAAAAACGCAAAATGCAAAGTGCAAAGAATGTAAAGAAGTGTCTTCTAGGGATCCTGGAGTGTACTCCTTGCTCCTTTCATTTTGAGCGTTTCTATTCGCAAACAATGTGTTGTCATTGATAATAAAAATTCGCAAAGGATCTATCATTTAAAAAGACGTACATTTGGTTGGTGCTCCACTGAATGTCCTCGATCATATCCAGAGCTGAATGGGCGATGAACTGGTTCAAATGGCGGAACTCTTCTTTCTAATGAATGAGGCAAGGGATTTGAGTGTTAGCACCATACTTTCTAATCCATGAAGTCCTTCAATAGTTGAAAACAAAACCAGATCAAGGCGTAGTGTAACATCGACAAGCCTGAGCATTCCAAATTAATCCTGATATCCCCATAGGACGTGTCAATACCTTGGCATCTGGAATAGCAGCGACTCCAGAAGACGCGCGGGCGGTGTTGACGGAGACGAACTCTGCCTCGTAAATAGGATTGTCTTTGGTGCCTATCATCACAAAGTAGCAGGTTGGGGTGTTTCCATAGCCCAGAGGTCCGCTCCCGATGCCTGAACCTCCGCTGCTGGAGGAGGAATGTGTGGTGTTCATGGCGATGTGCTATTTGGCTTGGGGCGTGAGTTCCTGTATGCTCTCCTTCCTGAAGTTAAGAGTCCTTCGGATTGTTAGTGAGTGTAAGTGGATGGCGCGAGAACTTAGTCCATCATCGCGCTCCTTTTTCCCAAAGGCAGATGAATCATGACTGGATAGGTACAAGGCGTGGCCCCTTAAAAATTCATTTAAGCGCCTGAAGATCAACTCAACGAAAAACCTCAACTCCTCTCGACCCAGCACAACTCGACATTCGCCATTGCCAAAGAAGGATTCATCGGGACAGGACATTACTTCCACTTTGGCAACCTGCCTGGACAATAACTTTTATTCGTCATGCTCACTGCGAATCAACAACGGATCTGTATTGGTCCGGTGGGTATGTACCTCCTTCCAAGCAAACGAGCTACAACTCGATATGGCTCAACAGAATCCAGGACTCAGATCCCAGGTCAGTTCGCGAGCTAATAGTATCGTTATCTCTTTTTGCTCATCTCTCTAGTGCCAAGAAATGCAGAGGACCCCATCACAGTGTTGCTGCCGAGCCCTAGTTCAGGTAACAGAACCAATGGCGCTTTTATTGTCCGGCAATATTTCATTGACAGAAAGGGCACAGATCTAAGGAGCGAGTCGTATGTAAATAGGGCACCCATCTCGATATGTTATTCAGGAAGGTCGGCTTTACGAGATGCAGATGATCGACTCGGAAGGTCTGCGGTCATGGTTCATCGGCGATACAATCCAATCAGGTACCCGTCCTACTGGATCTCCTGGAAACATATCGGATACTGCAGAAGTCGGATCCATCTCAATAACACCTCTTCCTTCATAGACGGATCAATTTACATAATCACTTTACTGGATCCGATATTTATGTTCATCCCAATTCTGGAGTTCGCCCGCCTAAAAACCTCGAAGTCTGCCGGCCGCTTCCTCGCTCTGAGCGACATCTTTGAATCCGACCAGTACACCTCCCTCCGACACCTTTCTCACCTCATTAACACCGAATCTTACCTTTCTTCAATCTGCGAGGTTCAGGAATCCAGAGATACGATGACATTTCGACTGGATGATGCAAAGGTCATGACTTGGCTTAAACGAAAAGTCCAAGTCCTTGAGGAAAAGTTCTTGACGATCCCTGCATTAGTGGATTCGATTGCGTATACAGAGTCCATGTCAGAGGCCTGTAGAACAGGTAAAAAAAATAATAATCCTGCTCTACAATGGATCGCATCTTTTTTTTTTCTTTGGTTGCTTCTTGCAGAATGTAAAAAAAAAAAAAAAAAAAAAAAACTATTGACGTTGTTTACGATTTCTCCAACGTTCCAACGTTTTTTTTGTAGAGGCCATCATTCAGTCCTCACTAAAACTCGTATCCGCATACCTGCCCGACTCCTGGGCTACGAAACTCGCTGACGAATACCAGTAAGCGACCTTAAATTACTCAATCACGAGAACCCAGGATTTCCCTCCACGATCACCATCAAATATCATGACACTGATTACAGCGATTTTTCTTTTCCTTTCCTTTTCCTTTTTTTTTTTTTTTTTTGTTTTGTCTCTTCAACATTAGATTCCCTGAGCTGGACAAATTGGAGAGCAGGACACAATTGCCACTCATATCCGACTTTGGCAAGCGCTCAGGAATGGATATGGACGAGGATGCGAAGCCCAAAGAAACTAAGGTGCCTTTTTTTTTCTCGTCTCGCCTTCATAATTTCGTCCACGAGCTGCTGCTGGTGCTATCCTGGTCTAACGTGCTTTGTCTGCTCATGGATTCCCTTGGGGCGCGGAATAGAAACCCAAAATGACAGTCGGGCAGAGAAAACTGGCCAAGGCTGATAAATCGGGAATGAAGCCATTATCCAGCTTCTTTGCAAAAAAGACAACCTGATAGCCATCGCATATCCTTAATTTCTTCGATTATAACACTAGCTCATAACGTTGCATGGGTTTACTTCAAATATTTTATTGCTACTGCGAGTGAAAACAAGGATAGGAACTGATGAAAAATAGAGAACTAGGACTGAATGGGAGTTGCCTGCGGACCCAATATTAACAAACACGCGAAAAGTAAAAGATGCTAAATTCAAATGCACAGGAGTAAGCGAAAAAGACGAAGCAAATGCACGTAAATAAATCGGACTCCATAGGTCTATTGGCCGGTCCTGGCCCTTTTACTGGATCGCTCGTCTGTGTCCGAGCCCGATTCTGGACGTGGTTCCTTGGATGTTGTTGTGATAACTGTCGATATGGCTGCCTCATCATCCATACCGCCATTCATGCTGGGCTCCCTCATGGTCTTGTCGCCCTGGAAGCTGTTGGCGGAACTAATTTTGGCAGAACCTTCACTGTTGAACGTCTCTTGGACGCTCATGAATGACCGGTCGCTCTCGGCTCCGGCCACAGCGTCATTCGATACATCTGATGTATCTTCTGCAACAGCAGGTTTACCAGACGAAGGATTGCCCTCCTTAAGAGAGTGATAGAACGTCCCATCGTCCTCATTGTCCTCGCTATCCGTGTCCATGCCCGTACCGCGGACCATGCCGTCTTGCGAAAAGATTCCAATCCCAGATCCATAGCCCATCTCAACAGTGTCGCCTCGCTCTACGAGCTGCGAATACTCTTGCGAATCCACTACCTGAGACTGTGGCTCCTCGTCTTCGTCATTGTCTTCTGGCAGGTCTGGAATCGTCTGACTGAAAGGTGTGGGTTGTGAGTATCCAACCCTGACGCCGCGCTGGATGGCTCTGTCGGCGCGCTCTGTCATGACACGTGAGAGCAGCCCCTTGACCTTGGGCATGGGATCTGTTCTCGACTGGGATGGCATCGTTCCCTCGTCGTCCTAATAAGCATTACGGATAGCCGATAAAAAGACGGCGTGTTGAATAATGGCGCTAGTTGGTATTTACGTACATGTCAGACAAAGCAAAATTACTTACATCTAGTGTCATCCAGACATGATCCAGGGCCTCGTCGACGGTCAACCGGTCTTCAGGGTTCTGAGCCAGCAATACTTGAACTAAATCAACAGCCTCGTCACTGATCTCGTCCCAATATGGCGAGGGGAAAGTGTACATGCTCTGCAAGACTTGTATCCTGAGCTTTGGTGGGGCAAGATCATCTAAAAGTCGGAAAAAGAAAAACGATAATGAAGTTCTATTAGCCCAAGCCATATGATCAGTCGCTTCAGATATCGATCATTAAAGTTGAGCTTTAGGCAGTGCGTACCGCTGAATGGTGGGAATCCGCAAAGACAGATATAGAGGACGACTCCGAGACTCCACATGTCGACGCCTTTGCCATACTCCCCGTTCCTGATCACTTCGGGAGCAACTATAATATTGTGTTTGTTCTTAGTACAGTCGCCATCCATGCTATTTGAGCGATACAGTGACAAAGACAAATTCTGAGGATCCTTTACCATAGCTGGGAGTGCCACAGATGGTATTAAAGAAAACGCGCTCTCCAATCATCTTGGCAAGACCGAAGTCCGAGATCTTGACTGTCATGGTATCCTTATCCATAACAAGGATATTTTCCGGCTTGAGATCACGATGTACGACTCCTCGGTCGTGAAGGTATTTCACACCTTCGAGGACCTGCTTGAAGATGTGCCTCGTTTCCTTCTCTGTGAACTTCTGCTTGTCGATGATCTGGTCAAATAATTCGCCATCGGGAGCGCTGTGAGAAAGGTAAGGGATAAGGGCGACTTGGGTCAACCATGCATCCAACAGAGGCAGTGAAAGTAACGCAATCGTAACATGACTGATGCCTTGTGAATCGAGAAGAGAAAGGACACGCTCTCTTACAGCTCTGTCACCACGTAGTAAAAATTTGGTTCATTGAAGATTTCGCACACCCTCAGGAGGTTTTTCTAATATGAAAAAGAGAGAAGCGGAAGGTTAGGTCAGCGAAAATCAGTCCATCTTGGGGAACAATACTAAAAAAGAACCGGTCTGCCACGCCAATCAAACCTGCCTGGTCGATACTCATCAGGATCCCAATCTCTCTCTCTAGACTAGCCTCAACTTTTGCGGTAAAGCTCTCGTTCTTCCTGACGACTTTGGCTGCGTAGACGACGCCGGTCTTTCTGTGCGTGGTCCGGAAAACGGTTGCAAAGTTGCCTGCGCCTAACTGAGGTCCTCGTTCGTACTGGCTGTCAAAAGTCTACGAGAAATGCGGACAATGACCGATTAAGTCCAAAATCATAGTGGGATGAAGATCTTCAATGTTGTTTGCATAAAGCGTGATCCAACGGCTATTGCCTTACCAAGTCGTCTGCAGGTTCTCCTTCTCTGAAGATGAAACGGCACCGATCTCTCGATTTTCTAGCCTCATGCAAGTAATTGATCTTGTCATGGTCCTTGAGCTGCACCCTCCTGTTGACTCCGACCTTAACGTTGTTGATAAAGGTTCCATTGGAACTAGAAAATAAACAGTGCAGAAAAATGTAAGTAATATAGTTTTAAGATATTTGTGAGAAAACATGGATGGACGAGTCTTAATATTGGTAGTTGACAGCGAGCGTACCTGAAATCCTTCAGAAAGATGCGTTCGACGGCCTTTTTCAGGTCTGGATCGTGGACCATTTCCTTGTAGATGAGAAAGTGACGACCGCTGACCAAGGGGCTGCTAGGAAGACTAGAACCGTAGAATGAGATGAAGAGCGTCAGATCAGTCGTATTGTTACTCTGGCCAGGGCAACAAGAGATTTTAGATGTGAGTGCAGACAGCTATGCCCATGCTACTCTTCTATATCTCAAGTTGAGTGTTTCGAGGATGAAGACTTACATAAAGTCACAATCATGCCGACGGCCAAAGACATATCCACCAACACCGGATTCGCCGTCGTTTCCTTCCTTTGTGAACTGGACAATGTGCTTACGACCGTCTTCCTCATATTCGAACGAGCCCCAGCAGCGTGGCTTCTTTTTTGTGGTGGCAGCAGGGGTAGTGGCAGGAGCGAGATCAACTGGAGATGAGTCTGTTGAGGTCATGGAGATTACGGTTGCAGATGATTCCGACATTAACTTGCAGGGTGTGATGAAGTCGTTTTTTTTTTTTTCGATAGCGATGTACGCTTGAGACGTAGACAGACAGAACGAGAGGGAATAGACTTGTGGTTCCTGGGCTAGAGCGGACGGATGGAGAGCACAAAAAAAAGAGCGGGTTTGTGAGAGTAGCTTGGCTGTGTTGTGTCGGATTGATGGGGAGATCAGAATCGGAGGTTTGGTCCAGTAGTCGGGGGAGAACTGGACAGGAGAGGAGGAGAAAGAAGAGGAGCGATGAGAGCGATAGGAAGAGAGAAAGAAGAAGGGGGGAAGAGGAAGTATCGGTGGTTGCTGTCGGTGGTGGTGGTTGCTGCCCAGTCTACTTGGGGTCGTGGGTCGCACACACGGGTCATGGAGCAATTGAGTCCTCCCCCCGCATGTCTACCGCCAAATAAGATTGGGTTTGGTGGCAAAAGCGTACCTGCAACCTCGTTTGCCCTCCCCCTTGCATCATTGCATCCACACCCCATCCTACTGCGCCAAACGAACATGCCCCTGTCGTCCATGTCTGTCCACGGGCCCCTTTACTTCCTACCCCTTCGTCCCTTCCTTCCCACGTACTGTGCTATAAAAACATCGGCTCCTGTATCTCCTTGGCCAGACATGCGTCCTAAAGGCGCCTTCTTCCTAAATCGAAGGATCCTTTGGGCAGATATTAGTCAGAGAAGCACCCGCCTCCATGTTGGAACATGGAAATATCCTTCTCAGTGGACTGTCGCCGAGAGTAGAATACCATTGCATCGCACTATACCCATTCACACTCTGAGCTCCATCCTTCTTTCCCTTCTTTCCCTTCAAACTAACCTGCTCCGTCTGCACCCACTTTGGTGTCCGTATAAAGTCGAGACCATCTCCATCAGCATCATCAACTCTTCCTTACAATTCATTTCTCTTTCTCTCACTTTCTAATACCACACCCATACGCACACGCAAACATCTTTCTCGAGATCCAGCGATTAATCGCACTAACTGGTAATCCTTTCCCACAACATAATGTACACGCGATCGTTGGCTGCAGTCCTGCTTGGGCTAGGTATCCTGGCCAGCAGCATCCGGGCAGATACCCTCGAATTCGCGTCCCCTCTTCCCAACAGCCATTTGACTGCCGGTCAAAATGTTCGTATCTCATACAAGGTCCATCGTAATGGTATGGCTCGTCTTATGTGGGCCAAAGTCCACCTCATGACCGACGACGGTTACGACGCAGGGACAGGAACTATTAGCACCGCAACGCCTTCAGACTGGCAAGGTAACACTGAGACGGATTTCGTTTTTTTTTTTTTTTCGTGACATTGATTAAAAAAAGGACTTTGATACGTACTTGATGTGTGTTGCCACTAGACTCCCAGTTGATTTCATCGGACTTTACGGTCCCAGAGAATCTGCCATCTGGGAAGTATGTTTTTCATGTGTACGGTAGCACGCAGCAACCATGTGAAGGCTCCGTTGACACGTAAGCGCTTTTTACCTACGTGTACCAGGAACAAATCGAATTCCATCTCATGATAGCTTCGGTTGCTAATCAAGTACTATATCCACATTTCCAGCACGCAAAAATGCGAGGGCATCCTATCAGAGACACTGCACTTGAAGATTAGAGGAGCCTCCAGAAAGATATCCACTCCAATTGCTCAACTAGAAGAAGACAATAAGGGTGTCGGTGCTATTGACAGTTTCCAGCTTCGCAAGCGCAATCTTTACGCTGGTCGTAATCTGCGGGCAATTGGTCAATCCGATTATCTACTGCAGGATAGCAACGCAGACATCCATAAGATGCTGTACTTTTTCTCGCTGATCTAGAACGCGATGTCTTCTCATCGTAGCTTTATTTGATGTTTTCTACGACTCCCATTTTTACGCGATATTCGCCAAAGAATATAAGGAATAAACAAGCGCGGTTACCCCTGGCGGACGCAGTGGCCAAGGCTGGTGCTCTCAAGGTGTACCCAATGACACTGCCGCTCGCCCTGGAATGGACTGCTTCGATCTTTTTTTACGACTCAGCTGGAAGGCGCCAGAAACAACAAAGCTTGCTGTCATCATCAGAATGATACCGCCCATCGAGGCAATTGGGCACTGCCTCCCAATAAAAGGATGTGCCCCCTGTGGGCTGGTTTGCTCCTTCTCCTCTTTTCCTTTTTTTCTTTCGCCCCCACCAGTCCATCGGTCTCTGCTCCTCGAGTGATCCTTGATCTGAACAACCCCCTCGCCCACAACATCCCCCATCCCCACCACCCCTTCTTCAATAATGGATTCTGACTGGTGTCTCTTCTGCGAGAAGCACGTCCTCGACCTCGGCGCTGCCTACTGTTCAAAGGAATGCGTCAGGATGGACAAGCTCATCTCTGTCGCTAACAAACCCTCGTCTTCGGCCTCGATCTCTTCGCCCCTGACCCCGGTTTCTGCTTCGCCCTTCAAGCGCTACGCGCACTCGCCCATGACCGTGACCTATCCGTCCATGTACCGATCCTCGACTCTTGTCCCGACCTCCATGTCCAGTCGCGGTGGTATCAGCAAGAACGGCGGTGCCTACACCCCCATCCCTGCAGCGACCACTAGCATCCGGTGCCTGCCCGTCAGTCGAAGCACCACTCGCCGTCAGCCCTTGGTCCTTTGACCAACCTCGCTATCCGTCGTTCCGACCCATCCATTGTTTGTTGAAAAGAAAGAAAAAAACAAGAAAAGCACTCATGTACCAGTACACCCTCGATCTGCCAGGATATTGATTTTATCCCACTTTGCAAAAAGATGTGCCATCGTGAAACGTACTTTGCCTTTCGCCCCCACCTCCCCCGACAACCCTCAAAAAGAAAGGAGCCTTGCCGAATCCACCCAAGCTATGACCGTACCGATCTGTGAAAGTCCAGACGCCGGCCACTTGTCGTCAAGTAAAACAAACCCCCCTACCCCCTCAACCTCTTCCAAAAAAACAATAAAAACCGAGATTTTTTTTTTTTTTTGTTATTGTTTATTTGTTGTAATTGAGATATTGAAGATTCACTCTCGATACCGCAGAATAATGACAGCTGCGGCAGAGATCTTCTCCGCATGAATGACTGCAGCTGTAGATAGGCAACCTGGCAGTAACCAAAAAGGCCAGCAATAAAATAAAAAAAGCTTTTCTCGTCCCAAATACTTGCGATATGGCCCAAGACATATGTCAACCACGCTTTTCTCCATTTCTTGCTTCCACAGCCATACCATATGAGAGTAAATCCTAGCCGCGCCATGCTCTCAGGTGCCGTAGTGATCAACAACTGCTCGGACAGGCACCAGTTTTTTTTTTGTCTCTCGAGTCGATTGACCCTGCGAACCTATCAGACCTAACTGGTTATGATCTGCTGCAGTTCTCCTTTCCACCAAAGCAGAACCGATCTACAATCGCCAAACGACAGGTCGCATTCCCCGGGCTTTTTTTTTTTTTTTTTTTTATTAACATAAGTCCCCATCAGCACGAGACGCATGGTCCGCAAAGGCCCTGAAGCCATAGATGCCTTCCATGCACGGCAGAGCCGCATCCCCTACCAACTATGTTGGTACACTACGTTGGTGTCACGAGCGGTCGCGTTCCCCGGGCCTGTGCAAGGATTGCCATATCTCATCAGCGTGCTAAAAGCTGAAAACTAGGAATCTTCCCCATCCTCTCCATGGTTCTCAACCGCCCCCTCCCCTGCAGGCAGCCCAGTAGCTTCCGATCATCAGGATCAGGATCCAGCGCAGGTTTTTTTTTTTTTTTTTTTTATTAACGAGAACCCTCGTAGACATGGGACTTATTAACTATGGTCTGAAGGAGTCCTACAGGTGGGACAGAAAATAAGCAGCGTACTGCCCGCCCCGACTAGCGCCGCGACGGATATCAGGATCCAGCGCAGGACGAGGGGAACCCCGGCTAATTTTTTTTTTTTTTTTTATAACAACTTGTCTCTCGAGTCAATTGACTCTGCGAATCTATCAGACTAACTAGCAAAGATCTACTATCGCTGTCCTCACCACCAAAGCGGAACCGATCCACAGTCGCCAAAAGACAGGTCACATTCCCCGGGCCTGCCCCTAGGGCCTGCGCAACAATTGCCACACCTCATCAGTGTGTTAAAAGCTGAAAACACCTTGTTACAAGAAGGGTATCTTCCCCATCCCCTCCATGGTTGTCAACCGCCTCCTCCCTTGCAGGCAATCCAGCAGCGTCCGATCCGCTGCGTCTGGGTCAAGCACGGGGCCAGGGCAGCTCCCGTTTACATGGTCAGCGAGTAATGCACCACACGGACATTGGTCATCGTCGCTAATATATCCATACCCATCACTCCAGTCCCCTCTCGGTCCCTTGTATGGAGTTCGTTTCATCTTGGCTGTGATCCCCCATTCTCGCTCTCGAGCAACAGTGGCCTGCAGCGTGGTTTCCAGATCAGCTCCGTAGCTTTCTCCTCAATAAAGCCGACGAACTTGTGAATGACCTGGCGCGCAATCGACGATGGCGAGGTAAATAGACTGCCCCACTCCTTGATAAGGCTGACTGGTGTGATGCCACGGCATAAATCGCTGATGCTCCAGGTCAGATCCGGAGAGCGGTCATAATACTCGTCGCCTTTGAGCATTGATCGGGTCCCGGCGATACAGGATAGACCTCGGATGTGGGTCTCGTTGTTAGGACAAACCCATCGAATGGGTTTCGGTGCAGCAGCGGCGGCTCCAGCGCGGATCCTATCACGCTCTTGCTGCTTCTTGCTGTTCTTGTTGTATGCGGTCGTTGCAGCTCGTCCCCACTTATCAATCTGCTGTAGCCCTTCGCGCCAGATCTCCTTGTGGACATCTCTAGTAGCACTGCACGTCCACAGGTGATGGTTGTCTTCGTCCTGAACATCGCAGACGCAGCAGACACGGTCAGGATATAGACTCGGGTGGCGAGCCTTCATGGTATTCAGGGTAGGCAGTATACCATGCAGCTTCTTAATATGATGTGTCCTCTGAGAGGTATCAGCAGCACTGCTGAAGAACGTGTGCACAGAGCGCTTGTCGTGGACATGGGCAAGGGTGGACCGCCACTCCACGTCGGCAAGATCTGGTATCGCTCTCTTGACACGACGTTGGGTTGTCCAGGCCTGATGACGCCTGATTGTCGTCTGCTGCTTGAGTAGCTGCCGCAGATCATGTTCCACAAGATGGTCGTGGCAATGTGCAAAAAAGCGGATGTCTTGCTGCTCGCTTAAATCAACCGACCAGGGCATTGACTCGACTCGGACGGCGGCTGTCGCCACAGTGTCTGCAATATTGTTGCCAGTGTTGGTGCTGTGCCCACGGACCCACCTCACCTCCACCGACCCAGACCGATCCTGGACAATTTTGTGTAGTGCTGCCCAGTGTCCAGAGTACGTACTACGGAACCGCTTACGAGGTAACGTGTCCGCACGGGAACGCACAAGCTGCTGGTATTGTTGCACGACCGCTTGGTTGTCGAGCTCCACAATAATGTTTTGGTCTGGTGGTGCAGATAGGATGGCAGCTAGGAGACCCATGAGTTCTGCTTTTGCTGAAGAAGCGTACCCGTCTGTGCGGCCCTGCACACACCTGACCACGGGCTGCGATCGATCAACGACCCCAAAGGCCATGGCTACGTCTTCTTGACCAGTGTTAATCAAAGAGCCATCGGAGGAGATGACTCGCGGTGCTGTGTTGTCGACAGGAGATTCTCGCAGCTGTGACACAGCAACTGCCTCAGCGTGTGATAAGCTGACTGGTCCAATTGTGGTTCTGTCTGGATATAATGTGCCCACCTCCTCAGACAGCTGGTGTACAGGCAGCAATGGATACGTTTGGCGTTGAGGCAGTAGACGCAACTCTCGTTGTTGTTGACGCTGTAGTCGACGTTCGCTGTTACGCAGGCGTCGGCGCTCCCGTGCCTGCTGGGTACCGTACTGGGCATGTATCGCTTGCGATGCACGTGGAGATGCAAATAAAGAAACTTTGCATATAAAGAATGCATGCAAATAGGGAATAATTACTTTGTAAGAAATATATAAATTCATAGAGCGCAGTATTCGCCATATGATGGCCGGATGGTTTAGTGGTATAATTCTCGCTTAGGGTGCGAGAGGTCCCGGGTTCAATTCCCGGTTCGGCCCTTTCTTTACTTTTGCCGTGGTTAGTCCATGTTGCATGTCAGTCTTATTTGGCAACCCCTGCAACAAAGGAAGAACAAATTATTTATTTGCCGACCCCTACCTACCATATGTAGATGTGTGATTATTCGTCGGAAGAATATAATCTCACGGGGGGGTGAGCTCTTATTCTCACACCCCCCGTGAGATTATCTCTCATTTTGTCATCTCACAGGGGTGTGAGACGGTTATTCTCACACCCCTGTAAGAATAATTCGAGCATTTTTTTTTCACGGGGATACATATATATAATTTATTACTAGGACCCCTATTGCTAGAGACGTAAAGCTTTTGCTGCCAGGTCCCTTTCACAATCCTCGTCAGCATGAGTGGTGACTCGAAGAGCTCTGCTCCCTACTTGGCCTGTTGTGTACGAAGGTCATCCTTTAGCCGGTGTCCATTGCCATCAAAAACTTGCATCCACCTAGTCGCTCCATCAGAGCCAGCTCCAGCTGTTGGCGATAGCCCTGTACTAGGCGCTTGTCCGCCTCTGCCTAGATCGCTTCCACGTCTGTTGCGGGTCGCTGTCTATGGGTTGATCCCATGAAATCACCCCTACTACGGTTGTATCCTCCAGCACAAGTGCGTCCTCTGGTGCGTTTGCTCACAGAAGTTATTCCACGCTCTCGCTCTCAGTCCAGTGATTTTGCAACGTCTGTTCCAGATCTCAGTCCGTCCTAGCTCCTCGATGGCCCCGACAAAGCGCGCGACCATGTACCTTGCGACTGCCTTTGGCGTCTTAAACTCTTCTGTCCATTCCGTAGTAAAGTCCTTTGGCACCAGCCCGTGGTACAAATCTTGAACGGTCCAACTTGCTTCATTGCTGTGCCTGCTTTCGTCTGCCTCGTCGAGGTGTTCGTCCGCGTATCGGATGGTCGTCACTCCTTTGACCTTGCTCTCAAACATCCTCCAGATGGTCGTCTCTGCCAGTGCGGTGAACTGCGGTCCTTTCTTCGTGCTTGACTGCTGTCCTCGGCCCTCCTCGCTCTTTTGCTTCGCCTCCCATTGCTTTCTCTCCTTTGCCCAAGCGCGTTGTCCATTTTCGTTCACTTCTTTCACCGCCTTGTTCCATCATTCCAACTGTTCGCCCTAGAGGTCGCGCATATCCATATGTGCTCAATGTCCTCGATCTCCAGCTCACACATCCTGCAAATGTCGGTGTCATACAGATCTGGCCGCCAGTTCCTCATGTATGACAGTGTCGGGAGCATGCCATGAATTTTTTTTGTTCGATGTGCACGTTTTTGACAGTCTGCATGGCTGGTGAAGGGACTCCTTGGTGTCCACCCGTCGTGAACAATTCTCAAGGTCGCCTTCCAATGAACTGTTTGCCAGTTTGGAATATATGTTGCTGTCCTATTCTGCCTGGTCCACACCGTGTTGTTCCGGATTACCGACTGTTGCTTCAGCACTCGTCGCATGTCATCCTCCACAATGGTGTCATTGATCTTTGCGTGGCACAAAAGGTTGTTGTGCTCATCTTCCTTGAGACTCCATAGCTCCGATAAATGGCCTTCCTTCGCTGCTTTGTCTGAAGCCTCATTGCCGCTGTCACCAGCGTGTCCTTTGATCCAAACGACTTTGACACTGCTGCCCTGCTGGACGAATGCATGGTGGACTGCCGCCCACCAGATCACGTACGGTGATCTTACGCGTTGTCGTTCCGTGCATCGGTTCCGTTCTTCCACTAACACTTTGAACTGCGAAACTACTGCCGAGTTGTCGATGTAAACTGTCGTTGGGGTATTCTCACGGGATAGTCTGTAGAGCCTCGTTTGAAAAATAATAAAATAAAATAAAATAAAATAAAATAAAATAAAATAAAATAAAATAAAATAAAATAAATTAAAAAGCACTCGTTTATTTTTCAAAGTCTGTTTCAGGACGGAATTCTTTGGATGGTCGCGACATCTCGCTGCTGCTCTTGATGCGTTTGGCTCTTGGACGCCCCTTCGGCTTCACTACAAGTGGGTCTTTGGTGACACCAAGACCTGCTTCGTTGTCAGACGCGTCCTGTAGCTCCATGAGCCCCTGTCTCCGTTTCAGCGAGATTGAGAGGTTGTTGAGCGTTTGCATCGCTTCATCATGAATTGCTGGATCAGTTGTCCCCATGATGGCCAGCTCTCTCACTATCCCTGCAACATCTGCGTACCGCTTCTTCCTCAGTCGCTCTTCCTTCCTTGGCTGTGATGCCGAGGATTCTGTAGAGAACAAGGTGTGCACAATCCTCGTACGAGTGCTGGCGAGGTGATCCTCAGTCCTGGTGGGGTGATCCTCGGTCCTGATGGAGGCGCTGTGATGCGGGTAGGCGACTAAGAGCTCTGAACCAACTTTTATCTCGAAATCTTCGAGATCCTGCCACTGCTCCTTGAACCAGCGCTTGAGAACGAGGCTGATCCTATACTTGCACCTGCTGTCCCTTGCATCACGCAAAAGAAGTGCCTACACACAATCCCCGTGTTTTGCAGCAAGAGGCAGGTGCAAAAATATGAATGACCAACCATAACCACAACGAACTCCTGTTGACTGCGACGGATCTTGTTATGGATGGAATAGACAGCAATGATTTCGGCTGGATCCAGTCTTGAGAGTAGTGATGCCAGAGAAGACTCGCGGAGGGCTTTCCCAGTTCGATCGACCTATGCAAATGGATTCAATCAGCATCAGTCGTACCAAGAGGATAAAAGGGTAGAAGGAAACGTGCGGCACATCCTTACCATTCTGTCGTTGCTTGAGCAGTGCTTTTGCAGGATAGCCTGGTGGTCAGAAGGGTTGAAGTCGTAGGCGAATGACCAGTCCATCTCTCTGCGCATCTTGTCGCGCGCAAACCCTCCCAACATGTCGTTGTTCACCTGGACGATCTTGGGAAACATGGCTGCTGTCAGGCTAGGGCTCAGGCTGCGTGCGGATCCCTCTGCCTGTGCCTTCTTGCCCTCGGCATCCTCGGTGTAGTTTGCCTTGAAAAGCTCGCACTCGATCCTTGCGCTGGTGGCATTGAGGACGTCGCTCAACGATGTTTTACTGTTGAGCTCTAGCATCTTCAGCAGATGGTGAGTTTTCTCGACGCGCTGGGTTGTCTCCATCCCGGCCGTGAAAGAGGTACGACCCAGGGCCAGGCCCATCGGAAACGATCATTATAGAGCCGCTGGAGGTACTCGCTGACTTTCCCATCACAATCCCCATACGTGTGACATAACTCCTGCCATCTCGCATCGAACTCACTGGTGATGAAAGAGCGGCTGACAGCCGTAAAGTCGCGCTTAAACATCTCCCACCTATCCCCCAAAGGCCCGTGCAGGTGAAGACGAATGTTTTTCCACATATGCCACAAACAATTGATGACCTGCGTCCGGGGAAGTGTGTACGCGCAGGCTGCTCCATTGCTGCGTCCTTATCGACCATGATAGCCTTGGGTGCAAGCTGTCTTGTGGCAATAAGCAATTGCTCCAGGACCCACTTATAGTCAAGGGTCTTCTCTCCAGACGTCAAGGCACATGCCACCAACCGTGTGCAAAAGGCAGCATCTACAATGACGAAGGAGTGGAGCGACATTTGGAATCGATTAGTGGATGCTGTCGTGTCATGGACAATAATATCGTGGTACCGACGATATAGTGTCTTCTGGATAGGACTCATCCAAAATACCCCACAGAGATGGCCGCCCTTATCCTGGGAGTATTTGTAGAACCAGTTTGGTTTCCCGGCGGATGTTGGGGCCAATAGGATGAGCAGTTGGAGAGACTCAGGGACTTTCGGCAGCCTCGTCTGGGCCATGTATCGCTTGCCATGGTTAATCACAGCCCGCTTGTGGAAAACCTTGCCTGGATACTTATGCCCCAGCCATAGAACGTCTTGTATATGCCAAGCTTCAATTCCGCAGCCGTCTCAATAATCGCCTCCATATCAGGTTCAGCGGCGTGAACGCCATGACTTCAGTGCGTAGATCGTGGTTGTGCTCAAGCGCGATCTTCGTGATGTGCCAAAAAGGAGTAATGGCCTTGGGGCTTGTCAGGTTGATCTTGAACCCACAATCTGCCCGAGAGGAACCCGCATTGGGTCGTTGTTTGGTGGGATCCTGATGCTTCCTCGACCTGTGAAAGCCTGCTGATGACAGACAAGTTGCACTGGACAATATGGAGGCAGTGTTAGTTCATCATTGAACCGGAAGCGTAGCTAATATCACTAGAATACGAACTGGGAGCAGCATACTTGTACTTGAGCTTGACCGGCATATTCTAACCTTGAATCCACAATGCCGTGCGTACTCGTCGACGATGACCTTCGCTTCCTTGGCGTCCGCAAACTGATAGCAGAGCGAGGGACTCCAAGGAATTTGTCTTGTTTCATTGATTCATGATCCTGACCTGGCCAACACTCCTCCTCATCTGTCCACACAGTTGTCTCTCTCTGATCGTCACTCTCGTCAGCACTATCTTCCTCATCTCCGCGCGATACGACATCACCATCGTCAGTGGTATCGAGCTCGCTGTCGCTCCTGTATGTTGCCCGATCCCCGCGCACAACCCCACTGATACCCATTGTTCTACCGCCATCTTTTGCATCAGGTTCGCCGTCGCTATGATCATCGGTGTGAAGCTCGCCGTCACCTTCATTATATGGTTGCTAATCCACATCGCTGTCTTTGTCGAAGATGATGTCTGTCTTATGCTGTACCACAATCCTCGCATTGTCCTCCACCGGAGCCCTCGTATTGTCCTTGACCACGAGCTTTGGCTTGTCCTTCACCGCGATCTTTGCTTTGTCTTGAGGGTCGACCTTCGCCTCGTCCTGGACAGCCACTTTCGCGTTCCCTTTGACTGTGAGGCCGTCAGGATGACTAAACTTGAAGAGATCATGAAGATAGTCTGCCATGTCCTCCTCTGGTGTTGGGTGTTGCGTATCGTCTTTCACATACTTCTTGAAGGCACGGACGAGGTCATCATCCTCCATCTAAACATTAAATCAAGTAGTGTTAAAAATGTTAAATTATATCCTAGATACTCCAACTATCGACGCAATTGATAAGTGTGTGTAAAGTACCGAAGTATAGCCCGTTAATAGACGCAAGAACCGGACCCGATGATTCAAAGCGAAGGCATGGGCTGACCAGTCGACGTATGGATTGACATGTTGCTCGATGGCCATAGCGGCTAGTATGCCACAGGATCCGCTGTCCTGCTGCTTTGGGGTCAAGAAAGGCAGGACATTCTTGCTGGCTTTCCTCCACTTGGGAAGGTCCTCGGCAGGCGGGTCCATCCACTTCACTAAAGCGTCGATTGCTTCATGTGGTACAGGCCAGCCAATGGAGTCACCAAAGAGGACCTGATACTTCTTGAGGTCAAGGCATACAACGCCCCAGTGTTGTCCCATATAAGCAATCGCGAACAGCTTTTTGGCGCGTCCACCCCTGGTTTGCTCCTTCTCGCGTCCCGAGACCTTAGAATTAGGCCATATATATGAAGAAGGCGCAAATAAGTACTGGCCACCCTGTCCATAGGAGCGATCGAAGAACGCCTGAATACCACTAACCACCTCGTCATCAAGCCATTCTTCCTTAGCAACTGATAGGACAGACTTGAGACTGATATGCGATTGAGGGAAGAAGGAAGGGGAGAACACCTTCTGATATGGTTTGTGCTCCATAATTATATTCAAGAACCACGCAGTAAAGTCAGCGTCCAGTTGGCGGACGGTGAGCTCAATCCATCTCGCCACACTCTGGAGGGTTTCAGTAAATGTTCTTGTGGAATCAACCTTAGAATAATCATGTAGGAGATCAGAAACAATGGGACAAGTAGGAGGACGTTAAAAACATTTTCTATGTCTATTCGTACGATTACTCGTATGGAATAGGTACCAACCTGGATCGACATGCGGATGGCACTAGGTGTAAAATAGCCAACCCCTGGAAAATGGACCAAGTGACAGTCTCCAAGATCATTCGTGAGCTGAATGATCTTGGAGAGTTGCTCATGAGGAGGAATACGATCGATATATGGGACTTTTGATTCCAGGATGACATTTTCAGGAGCCGGATCTCCTGATAAAAAAGGGACCATTATTGCCTCGACTGGTGACATCGGTCGCGGCATTTTAGGCAGAAAATACAGCAGTTCTTGTCCTGTCTGGAGACAAAGCCATTTGTAACTGAGAAAGGTGTGAGAATGGTTCATTTGAGGTCAGAGAGATAGAGATACTCAAGCGTATTGTGTTTAGGGACTCCAATTTATAGCTTCCAATATGGGAGTTACCCTGTCGCCTCCTGCTACGGTAGACAGTGAGGCTGCTAGTCAATCAGAGGTATTATTCAGAAGCCGGTCGCTACAAACGACCTTTTGTGCAGCGCCATACGCGTCGCTCTTGTCCTGTGCATTGAAAAATAATCTAACGGTTACAGCCCAATTGAATGAATCTCCCTAGTTCCTAGTTTTGGAGCGTCAAATATGTGAGTTAAGTCCAGATGCACTTCTCAGTCAACATGGAAGAAGGCTGAAAAAGCGAACGGTTGGTGATACCTCCAAATGTTCAATTGCAAAGGCGCTTTGGACATTGCACAAGGTGAACATCAAGAGTTTACTGAAAGCAATTGTTTATGAGTATCTAGTCTATGAGTAAGACGTATCTTAGGACATTCTCCGGATACCCGGTCTGGATAGATCATAGACTATAGTCTTGTATAACGGACTCTCTTTTTTTTTATTTATTTATTAACGAGAACCCTCATAGACGGGACTAATTGACTGTAGTCTGAAGGAAACCTACAGGTGGGACAGAAAATAAACAGCGTACTGGTTTCATAATCTACAACTGCATGAGTGGCGTGCCAATGGCTCCTGTCCCCTACGTGGCCTGTTGTTTGTATAACGGACTCTCGTGAATAGTAGAGTCCTCGCCAGAAAGTCGTGGGCAACATATTTTTGAGCCCTTTCAATTGACTAATTTTTTCTGCACGTACACAGGACACCACGGTTGCGTCTAGACGTTCTCTTGTCATCTATAGCTTTAATGGTCATCTTGTCTTTGCACCTTCACCGGCGTCGCTATCTCTTTCATAAATGAGAATATAGTCAGGGACATGGATGCAGTAGTGGATGCGCCTGTCTGTCGGCTTTGTATATGAAAAGGGCAACCGCATTTATTGAATTGAGCCAACTATTCCAAAAATATGTTGGCCCGCGACTCTCTGGAGAGGACTCTACTACACTCTCTAAACCCTAATCATCCAGACTTAAAATCTCCAAACAGCCTTGCACATTCCGAAAAAGAACGAACAGCAGGACGTGCAAGGTGCAACATAGACACGAGGACGAGAAAAAGGGCGAGCAAAAGGACAAGCAAAAGGGCGAGCAAAAGGACAAGCAAAAGGCGAGCAAAAGGACAAGCAAAAGGACAAGCAAAAGGACAAGCAAAAGGACAAGCAAAAGGACAAGCAAAAGGACAAGCAAAAGGACAAGCAAAAGGACAAGCAAAAGGACAAGCAAAAGGACAAGCAAATGCACAAGCTACAGACGGACCTGCAGGTGTGCGGCATAGACACGAGGACAAGCAAAAGGACAAGCAAATGCACAAGCAAAAGGACAAGCAAATGCACAAGCTGCAGATGGGCGTAAAGCAATTGGACGAAGAGAGATAATGACACAACATGGTCATGGTGATATTGTCAAGAAGAGAGCTTATAGACTATGAGGCGAGCTATATATTCCATGCAAGGTGGAGGACATGGTGCAATGCACTCTTTCTCGCAACTTTCTTCTCTGTGCACACTCTAATACTCTACAACCAACATCACTGTTGCAAATTACCTTCCTCGCCAGCATTCCACTGCACGCTACGCTAACTACAATGATCAAGGCACAGAGAAACGAATGTACATTCTACAACTGTATCCAGGGACTGCTGGACAAGAAAGCGGCGATCCAGACATACGAGCGTCGCATTGAACAGGATCTCCCAGTCAGGGATGAGGACAGGCCTGTGCCATTGACCAAGTCAGAAAAAGACCACTTGCTTCGGTCTCACTCAACGGTGCCAGTTCAAGTGAAAAACGTCCTTTTAAATGTGTTCGTCCAATTTGAAAGGCGCGAGGATAGAAGCATGACTTTCATCTGCGTCTGTAGAAAGCCATTCCTGACAAGGGATAGCCTGAGCAAGCATTACAAGCGGGTCTGCACCCATTCCAACATCCCGATTAATGTTCCAGGGCTTCAACTTATTGACAACACTAAAGTTCTCCCTGATGATTTGGAGGTCGTCAATGCCTCAGGTACATCTGATGACGAAGTTAATGATGGGAACGACAAAGGCGATGAGGCGTTTAGCGGCAGCAATGCACTCATATTCAACACTAACGATGTTTCGGCTACTTTAATGACATTTGATTCAGGAAGAGTGGTTGGTGCAACTATCCGAGAGTTCATGCAGATCTTGGCCATTGCAAATTTTCAACAGCAACAAGCACAGCAACAAGCACAGCAACAAGCACAGCAACTAGCACAGCAACAAGCACAGCACATGCAAATCATGGCGTTTCAAGAGGAACAGCGCATGCAAACCATGGCGTTTCAAGAGGAACAACGCACGCTGATGGCGGCCATAGAGCAACGGATCCTGGGCCCTATTACCCAGACGGCAGCAGGTCAAGGGCAGGGACAAGCTGCGCAAGCTGCTTCTGCTTCTGACACCGGACCTTCCAGTCCGGTTTCTACAAGTAGAAAAAGAACGCGCTCTGGCGCCCCTCGCTTTGGAACATTCAGGCCCCTAGTCGTATGTCTCCAACTGAAAATAAGTAAAATAAAAATGGCGGTTTGGTGGAGCGAGTGTAGATCGATATAAAAATTGGGCAGATGTAGAACGGGAAAGCGCTTGGTCTCGCTTTGCTTATCATTTTCCACAATAGTGAAAGCTAGGTAACTCCCTATGCGTCGGCATACTTGCAAACGATTGGAATATCTGGAGTGTCGAGGGATCTAGGATGAAAAGGGTATTTTATTGGGCGAATGCTGCTATCTAGTTCTATGCGTAGATAGGGTTTATATACTAGTTGCATCGGTGTCAACAGTGCACTGGAATATTGTAGAAACTGGGCGAAGCACTGACGACACCATAGCATACTAAATCTAGCATTAAACCTTTGCAAAGATCCACGATAGTGATTTTGAGTCGTAAAGTACTACTCCAATATGATCACAAACGAGTGTCTGTTTTCTCTTTTCCATGGCACCTCGTCATTCAGCTTCGGAGTGGAATCTGGCTCAATCTTGCCTCTTATTGGATTGGACAAAGGGGTAGATTCTCCAGTGACGAGGAAACCGATATGTGAATCTACATATAGACCTAGTATGACACCCCGTTATCACCGCACTAGTGGTAATCAGCAATTTAGTGCGTCGCCCCAGGTGTGTTAAGAGTGTAACATACCTGGTATCAGAGAATGGAGCTGAACTACAGCCTATATCAAGGAAGCGATGGCTAAAAAGATCCGGATCCTTAAACGAATTGAGGTGATGGGACCAGATGTGTGATAGGAGCAAGAGCAATCTATTAACAATTACGTATTGGGTACGATGGCGCATGGTCGGGGCAGAAGGAAAAAAAGTGCGGGCTGGTATAGAAAGAGAGGTGTACAAAAGTGGGCACTGGTAGAGAGAGAGAGATGTACTGAAGTTTGCCCTCTTGACACACCTGGGCGACGATAACGGGGTGTCAGGTGCTTAAGCACTGAGAAACCCAGGTATTAATCTAAATGCGTCTATTATGCTTTTGTATGCCCGTGAGATTATCTTTGGTTCGCCATAAAATAACAGGGTGTAAGATTAGAGCTCTCACGGGGGGTGTAAGAATAAAATTTCACTATGTGCTTTGGATAATCTCACAGGGGTGTAAGAATAAAATCTCACCCCCCCCGTGAGATTATATTCTTCCTTGCCAAATAGCAGTGTCAACCCGGGTTGTCAAATAGATTGTCCCAAGTAAGTAAGCTACACGGGGCATGGCGATGGGCCGACCACGGCAGCAAAAGGCAAAAGGAAGGGCCGAACCGGGAATTGAACCCGGGACCTCTCGCACCCTAAGCGAGAATTATACCACTAAACCATCCGGCCGCTGCTTCGTGTCGGCAGTAAAAGAAAATTTTATAAAAACAAAAAGTATGAAAAATTATGACGTCAACGTATTTTTGGCCGCATGGGCTGTCTACACACTTTATCGCTGAACAAGGCGACGAAGAGAAAAAGATCTGTCTGTCTGCAACACTTTCAGCCAGTCAACAAGATTACACGGACGAGCAGGATGGCGTTGGGAGCAAAAGTGCAGGTGAGGACAATTTCACTTGAGGCAATCTAAGGCTAGCAAAGGGCATGAATGTTCTCTCATCATTGTCAGTTGGTTAACCAAAACTCGGTGTGACATCTGATTGCAGGCGTCGAAACTGTCGCCTGTGGTGACCGAAGACATGATCAAGAAGTTGTTTGAATTCATCGGACCACTAGATAATCTCGTTCTCATTCCCAGGTATGCATTGTCGCAAGCTGAAGCACTGATGATACTATATTGCCCAATTGTCAACCTTTCGTCGATTTTAATTATTAGTATCACGACTTTTCTTTTGTTCTCGGATCCTTTTGCTATTATGTTATATGTTATAGTCCGCTTGGATCAGGATTTGAGGCTATTATTGAGTACCGCGAAAAAGATGCGGCCCTCACCGCAGTGCATCTGACAGGAACCTTGTTTGGCGGGCGACCCTTGATAGTGACCTTAATGGATGTAACCCTTCCTACAACACTTGCAGGAACAACACCAGCAGCCCGTCCGTTCACCAACCTCACGATGCAACAACAACACGCCCAGCAGGCCTCTGCCCTTGGTGGTACGACACCTGGCGTAACTTCACAGAGCAACCCTATGATTCGTATGGGCGCAACAATCAACCATCCGCAGTTCAATGGCATGGGTATGGGCATGGGCATGGGTATGGGCATGGGGATGAACATGGGAATAAATATGGGCATGGGTATGGGCAACCAGTTTCAACCCATGTATCCTAGCCCTCACATGACTCTATACAACCCCAATATCATGCCACCACAATACCACCAGTCCCGTTCTGCAGGCCAGCCAGTGGATCTGGATAAAGTCGATACTAAAACCGTCTACGTCGGGAATCTTCCACTGACGGTCACCTCGGAGCAGTTGGAGGAAGTCTTCCAAGACTGTGGTAAGGTTACACGAGTCAACATTGCCGGAAAACCAACCCATCCGACACGATTTGCGTTCATGGATTTTGAAACCGTCGAAGGGGCTAAGAAGGCACTCTCAAGTACCGATAAGATGATTGGCGACCGAACGTTGAGGTAAAGCAAGAGGAAGCAATTTATTACTATGATATCTAGGACCTTTTGCGATCGCAGCCCAAAGGCCATGCTAACGTTTGTGCTCAACTTTCGGTCCATCTTATTAGGGTTAATTTGCCTCGACACAGTGGACCTCTACCGTTTATGATGCAGCAGGCGCAAATGATGCAACCATCACTTCAGCTCCAGCAACAGCAACCCATGGATGCAACCCGTGCAAAATACAGAAAAATCCTGATTGATCTCGTTAACCGTGGAGGCGACCCATCATTGCGCAAGAAGCTTGAAGAACTGGAGGCGGGTGGTCCTCTTCCTGACTTGAGCGACATTGCTGGACTCTCACCGGATCTGGCTGCACTGACTGTCGAAGGATTATCTGGCAAGAATGAACCAGCACAGCCACAGTCGGCTACCTCTCTCCTGGAAAAGCTAGTATCGGCCTCGAGAAGACGATCTCGGTCACGAAGCAGCACACGACGAAGAAGCCGCTCTCGCTCTATTGACAGAGATTATTACAGAAGCAGCAGGAGAAGACGATCCAGATCACGCTCTGGATCACGCTCTGGATATTCGCGCAGCTCCAGGGGATACGAGGCGGACTATGGGCGATATGATTATCGCGATCGGGAGAGAGACTATACTCGAAGTGAGCGCAGCAGGAGTCACAGAGACCTCAGTCGTGATCGAGAACGAGAACGGGATAGAGATCGTGAAAGGCCTCGAGAGCGTGAGAGGGAAAGGGATAGAGATCGAGGCCGTGAACGAGAAAAGGACCGGGAGAGTGGGAGAGACAAAGATCGCGACCGACATCGTGAATCTGATCGCCATCGTCACCGGGAACGAGAACCAGGGCGCACACGCTCCAAGACGCGCGATGGAGAGGTGGCGGGTTCTGAACAGGACACGAGGATGAAAAGTCCGCCATTGGCTACAAAGTCGAAATTAGATACACAAGGCGATGCGGACAAAGCCAAAGCCGAGCGATAAGAAGGGAGTGCACCTCAATTCAGAAATGATTAAAAACGAGGGACTTTGATATGCTCTACCCACATTTATTCATTGTCTACTATACAATCCATGCGCTTTGGATGAAAAGGTTGCGGCTGAACGCTGATGATGCTCGTTAGTGCCCTGTGTCGCTATGGTGTTTGTGCCTTCTGGTGTGGCACTGGTGTTGATGTTCGCTGCAGTTCCGAGTTCGCTCTCCTCCTGGATTCAGTCAGTTCCTCTGATACCGCGCTGAAAAGAGCTTTGGTGTCGCCACTTCGGATCTTTCCCTCCAGCTCGACAAGTTCCTGATCGTGTCTTCTCTTGATCTGCGCCAACGCCATTGTCTCGACAATCGACAGGAGGAAGTAGGAGATCATGATAAAGATGATGGTGTTCCAGATTAGGCCCACAAGGCTGGTTGAGTTCTCCAGATCGTCCTCAGACACCCTGCCCTCTCCACGAAGAGCGCCCTTTTGCGAATTAATTCCGTCAGCGAGATATCCATGAATGAACGGAGCCGATCGCTCGAGCCAGCTCATGACCGCGGCGAGTGTGTCGGCAGAAAACATCAGGATCACAAAGAGGGTCTGGATCGACGATTTCACGACGGCCTTGCCAAGAAAGGTGGCGCCAAAGAAGGTCGAGAACGGGATCAAGAAATGCCCGCAGGTGATTCCTGCGAGGTCAAAGAGCGGATTGGGGATCTATCAGCAGGCACGCATACAAATATAGCGGGAATAAGTAGCCTGTAATCCACAATAGCAGACGAGGGAAAAAGCAGGTGCATTATTTCTTTGCTCACAGCTCAACAACAAGACTTACAGAGGCACAAAGGAAAATGCCAAAGAATCCCAGGCGCTTCATGCCCTCGTGCACCATGAGTAGGATGCGTTCCTTGTATGACACCGAATCGGGCTTCTTCTTCAGCAGATCTTCAATGGCTGCCAGCTCCTCGTTCCTGTTCCCAGACAGTGCAGCTATTGTCCAAGCAAGCCGTTCGATGCCGTTAGCAGCTGTCCAGTAACAGTCATCGCAAGTCACCCATACTGGTTCCACATCCCATCCAGCACCACTTACCAGCCCTTGCAACAAAGTACGGCGGCAGTTCTCCGATAGCAGTTCCAAATCCCCAGAAGAAACTCTCCCATTGCACAGCTTGAAAGACCGTATAGATGCCGATGGGGACGGTGAGCGACTCTGGCGACTTGCAGATATACCTAAGCAAAAGAGCCATCGGTGCAGATGTTAATCGCCAGGCTTAACTTTGTCATGCAGTATATCAAGATGCAGTAGCGATCGTCAGCGCCCTATTTCCCCTAGTTTCCCTATTTTTTCTGTGCGCCTGGTGTTCCACGCCACATACCTATGATCGCCTCTGACATCAAAGTCAGTGTTTCCGCACTTGTAGGCTGTGAGCGTGACCTCTGCGATATGTGGTCCCAGGAAGAGGATGAATGTGTGCAGTCCGGTGCCGAGTCCGACCGAAGATGCAATCCCGAGTAATGTCCAATATCCATACCAGATCAGTCCTGACTCCGCGTGCTTCAGAAGCTACGCGCCCATGACCATGCAAAGAAAAAAATAAAAGTGAGATTGGTAATCCATACAAAGCGTAAGCGTACATGATATCTCAGCGGTTCCTACTGGCTGGTGAGCTCCGTTCGTCTGGTACAGGAAGTAGACTGTCGCGGCGATGACTGGGAATAGCACGAGCAAGTACTGTTGGGAGATGATCCAAAGCAATGCCATACGGAACTCATGCAGGATGTAAAGAACAAAGTACGACAAAACAGTCAGTGGCGAAGTGTATACCGAGATCTCGTGTCGCTCTGTTTCCAAGGCCTCTCTTCTTCTGTTAATGAACTCTAGATCACAAAAAGTAGATTCAATTATAAGTCGGTATATCGACAATCAACCCACTTATATTCACTGCCGCCGCATACTCCATACCTGTAAAGTGGGCTGAAAAGCTATTGGTTCGTCTCGGTACTCTTGAGCGGATCGACTGCGATGACCTTGGTTTCCTGAACTCTACGTCTTCGAGAGCCGAGTGTGATATGCCTTCGTCAAATGCTGTGCGCATAGCATCGTCCTTGTAATCTGCTTCTATCCTGAAAACCTCTTCCGTGGTGGCGCTTCTGATGTAGGCTGCTCCATCAATAGTTGTGGCTCCAGCTGCCGTAGGCGTTATGCTGGCGCTCTTTTTGTCCATTGTCGTTGTATGCGAGCCTGTAGCGGCTTGCGAGGCAGGAGAGGACTTTTCTGTACTCCTCAGTCGCTTCTTCAGAGCGTGCCTGCTCCCCGTTGTAAGTTGGCCACGTTGGCGAAGGAGTTCACGCATCTGGGATATTGAATAGTTGCTCCATGGACTCATCTGGCTCCCTGTGCTGACTTCCTGGAGACCAGCGCTGTCGGAACCGGAATTGGAATCGCCTTCAAATTCATTGCTGTCGTCCGTAGTGATTGTTCCTGAATCCAGAGTGTTGCTGAATTGGTTCGAAGAAATTGGTTAGCGTTTGCATTCCCAGGAGAGGAGTGATGTGTGCGATTCGAGCTTTCTTTCACCTTTGGATCAAGTGATTGAACATGTTGTTCTGGTAGAATGACATGGTGTGAGGAGAGTCTGGAATTGTCGAGTGTCGGTATCGGAAGGCGAGGGCGATGATAAATTAAGAGAAGAAAGGGAAAGGGGCGAAAAAAAGGTCGACTGGGGATAGAAACAAAAAGAGATGCGGTACAGGGCCGCCAATGGTCAACAGTAAGAACGCAATTGAAATTTGATTATAGTGCGCGCCAAAATGGATGGGCTCGAGAGTCCTGAGGCAGAAGGGAGGACAGGAAGGGGACAGGTTGAAACGCACTCTATAACATGTACGTACTCAGACCTCAGGGACAGGAGGTGGCAAAAGCTGCCCTGGCTATACATGATCCTCAACCATCATTACCAGTACCTGCAACCTGTACCTGCCACCTGAATTCCATCATGTGTATCTCGCTTACCACGAGTCGTCCTCCCTTTCCTCTTTTATTCAATCAGATAGTCAACTGCAAATGGCAGCCCCCGCCATTGTGCGGATCTGACAATCAAACACGTCGCAAGGCGCCAAATGAAATCTTCCCCGCACTATGCCTAACTTAACTACAGACTTAATCGCACGTAAACCATTTGTCAACCCGGTCCTGCGTGGATTTCCTGTGAATACGTGAGTACAACATAATCCATGGTCAAGGGCCTCAGAGCATCAAATCTCGAATTCTTAGAGATGTTACGTGTCAGCCCAACAACGCTATCTGCAGTCGCAGGCGCGCCTTCTTTTAGAGTGCTCGCATCCAAGGAAAAATAAAACTATTAGGCAGCCTGGGCTGTCAGTCTTATGGAATAATATAATCTCACCCCCCATGAGATTATCCCTCGTTTTGTCATCTCACAGGGGCGTTAGCCGGTTATTCTCACCCAAGTAAGAAAAACTCGAGCGTTTTTCTGTTCACGGGAGGTGAGAACCATATTCCCACGAGGATAGTCTGTGGGGCCTCGTTTTTTTTTTTTTTAAAAAAAAGCACTCGTTTATTGTTCAAGGTCTGTTTCAGCAGTGAGAAGTATATGGGACGATAAGTCTGTGAAAAACGATATGCCCTTTTAATAGTGGCAGATCGTGCCTTATATACTAGAGAATAGCTATAAATGCATCTAGTATAGGGGACTAGAAACATAGGGGAAAGTCTCAGAGGCACAATGAGCTTCATAAAGGATCGGCACCGAGTGGTGGTGAATCCAAAGAAAATAGAGTGCTCTATATATAAGCAAGACAATGTGGTGAATACACCACAAGCAGGATGGAATTCTTTGGATGGTCGCGACATCTCGCTGTTGCTCTTGATACATTTGGCTCTTGGACGCCCCTTCGGCTTCACTACAAGTGGGTCTTTAGTGATACCAAGAGTGAGTTAACCATTGCAGTGGTCTATTGCATTCGCATACTGTTCGAAAACTTGTAACCAGACCCGTAGTAATAATGATGTTTATTGAACAATTCATAATTTAGATCGAATACAGACTGGCAGCTATCGCAGACCTGGAACTGTGTTCTCTACACCATTATCTACTTCCTGCACCTTTCCCAGCAGCACTATCGATGCCAGAACTCGTAAAAGAGGGAGAGATCCAGCCGAAAGGCCACATTCCGCCAGGAGGCAACCATCTAGTAATCATCATTTCTGCACATGGCTTTGTTTGGGAAAATGATAGCCTAGATCCTATAGGCCTCTTGTGTCTTGGTCCAATAGGCCAAGATTGGACTCTTGTAGCGCGACAAAGGCTCTTACTGTGGAGAGGCACCTGTTGATATTCAGGCATTTTGTCTAGAATAAAGCCCAGGAATTAAAGAGGACGAAACTGGACGCGTTTTGTCCATTCGCCCTAGGAAACGCAGACGTTCCGTTACAGAAGATGAATCACATACGTTCTAGAAGATACAGAGCACCAAGGGGACCAGATACTTGAGTACTTGGCCCGTAGAGCCTTAAGGGGGTCTGGTCTATGCTGCAGGGGCCATTAGGCTGCAAACGACACCACGAGCTCCAGTGATGATGAACCACCTGGACCTGCAGATATGTTTCAACAAAAAACTCTAGCAGCCGTGATCGTAGGCAGATTCACAAGTGCAGACTCCATCGCCGGTGAGAAGCCAAGGTGGTACAGGTGGGCAGATGGAAGTGGACAATGGTCGAAAAGTAAAGGAAGCTGCCAATATCAAGGGTTCAGTAGGCAGAATAAGGTAAGTGTGTGTGGGTCAAGGGAACAGGAGAGTGAGTAAGAGCGATGCATTCAAGGAATTTATTGTATTGCAGACTAAGGTTCATAACGCTACTGTAGCACAGACTATTCATGTGTTCTTGGGGATGATGGAATCCGGTGCCACGGCTATAGACTTGAAAGACCGAGTTCAGTTCCTTGAGACTAAATGTTCTGAGCGTTGAATCTGTCGCAGGAATGCCAAGGTGATGCAAAACGTTCAAAAGAGTAACGATGGTTTAGATGACGATAGTCAGAAGTGTAATTGTTGAGTAGAATAAGGTTGCTAGGATGTCGCGAAGTGGTCGACGTAGCAATCAAACACGATTCTGCCTGGAGGAGGTGGCTTGTGGCTTGACGCGCGCGTTTAATGCCTGCATCTTGGGAGGCCTGAATGAAAGCAGGGAAAGATAAAGAGGCGAAGGAGACGATGGGGTTCTCACGATGGAAGCCGTAGAGAGAGGTGGCAGTAGAATCACTTTTACGATGTGCTTTTTAATCAACGAGTTTTGTATGCTTCATTTCAAGAGCTACTTTCTGGTCTTCTTGTTCCGCAATAGACTAGGAAATTGAAAGCTTTCATTCGAGAATCTGGGCATAGCGGCGCTTGAGAGAGTACAGTTCTAGTTTGAGGCGCATCTTTGACTCCACCGAACGAGTCTCCCGTATAAGTGAAGTCCGAAGTC